AAGAGTACATAATAGAGATCTCTATTATGTACTCTAAATATATATATATAAGTAAAGTCACACACGAACACCCATGTAGATAAAAACAAAGTCAAGGTATAGAATAAGGGTGTTTAAAGTTTAATTGACAAGCTTTCGAGATTACATCTTTTCATCAGGTCAGCAGACATTGGAATAGAATCAAAATTACCAATCAAAAACAAATGGCAACGCGCGAATTGTGTGAATCATTTATTTTTGATTATCTATAACGCATTGTATTTGCTTTTAATTATCTGATTCTATTCCAATGTCTGCTGACCTGATGAAGAGATGTAATTTCGTGTGTGTGTGTGTGTGTGTGTGTGTGTGTGTTGTGTGTGTGTGTGTGTGTGTGTGTGTGTGTGTGTGTGTGTCTGTGTGTGTGTGTGTGTCTTCTTCTCTCTCTTGTGTGTTGTTTGTGCGTGTATATATATATATGTGCGTGTTCTTTTGTCATCCGTATTTTGTCACCGCGTGCTTCTTTAATGAAGCTCCGCGCGACGGCGTGATCGTATGTATGTTTTAGCACCTTGCGAAGGCAATAACCCAACTCGCGGATATAAGATACAACTCGTGATACGCAACGCAACACCGTAATTTATAGGATACGCACGCATACGATATTTATTAAACCAAATCCACCCATCACCGTACACTTCAATAAACCATGCGACTTCCTCGCGGGACCGCTCCGTCCGAACTCGATAACGTCCCCCCTAACAATGCTCCACACCATCTATACCGTTTCCACTAATCCTAATCCAAAACCATCTATAACGTTCACTCTAATCATGATCTAAACAACCCATAATGTCTACGCTGATCATAATCTAACTACCGATAACGTTTACTCTAATCCTGATCTACCCGACTGAGAATGTTCACTCTGACTATAACCAAAACAACCGATAACGTTTACTCGATAAGTAACCGTACTGTGTAAGTAACTAACATAGAAAGGAAACCATATTTACGTATATGCCATAGCTGGTTGTTGGTTCGGCTCGACCGTCGCACTGTCTCTCCTGCACTCGCTGTCCCCTCTCTGTTACCCTAGCTTATTTATATTCTCTACCCCCTGTGTGACCCGGCTTTCCTCCGGTCGATGGGCGTACCTGTCCTCTCCCTTTGTCTCTCGTCCTGCCTCTGTTGTTCTACTTCGAACTAGGTTAGTGATATCACGTACCACCCTCGAACGGCTGGCACTGCCCGGTGTCGGTCCGTTATGTAACGGCCGTTCCAGCTCGGACCGATACTGGGTTACATATATATATATTAGTCTACCAACCGAAAGAACTTATTTAATGAAACTTGATCATCTTCCTCTCAATTCCAGTGGGCAACGTTGCTTGTGAAAGATCCTTCTCCGTTCTCTGACGTTTAAAGGTGTGGACGCGCTCTGCTATGAGCGAAGAACGCCTCAGTGGCTCAGCCATGTTGAATAGGTACCACGGTAGCTGTTTTATTCCTGCTCCACATGACATGATACGCCAAAAGGACCTGTTATGTAATGACGAAGAGTGATATAACTAAAAATAGCATACATTAACATAGCTGGACTATTGGAGATTTCAAGAACACTGTTCATAATGAAATGGAGATCATGTGAATATTATACGTGATATACACGTGAATATTCACTAACATCGAAATGGCTATACAGTACACAATCTATTATCCGAAACCCTTGGGACCCCAGGCACGTTTCGGAACTCAGAGTTTTTCAGATTTTGGAATGGTAGTACAGTACAGATATACATATCGTATATCCTGCAACTAGCCAGTACTAAAACCCAAGTTTTCAAGAGGCCAAGTGCTGAACCTGTACAGTCCAATATGTATGAGTAATGCCAAACACATTAATATTTGTCAGGTTGAGCTAATTGGCTCTAAACGCGAGCTGGCAGACGACCTCCATGGAAAAACTCGGTTTTCGGAGCTTTTCGGTTTTCTGAATTTCGGATAATAGATTGTGTACTGTATAGCCGTATCTGAGAAAAATGTAGTCTAGGTTATATCAAGAATACATTAACAGGGTGCGAAATTAACGCGAGTCCGGAGTCAAATACTCCCTGATGTACTGTCGGACTCCCTGATTTGACATATGCAGGAGTCCGTATGACTCCCTGAAAATTCTGCCATACTAACTAGTTTGTTCTAGAGCACGGCATCGCAGAATTACTGTACGTTTGTCAGCAAATGTCCAAAGAAAATTTGGCAGACATGCAACTGCATGAATCTTCAAAATATGCACATGCGTTATTGTTACTATCTTTAATTTTGAACTTCAGACTGCGGGCTCCGTCATTTTGCTGCGGACTCCCTCTTTTTGAGGGTAGGGAAGATTTTTTTAGTTGGACTCCCGTGTTTAAAAGTTAATTTCTACCCCTGCATTAATAGGAAAATAGAGAGTAGGGAATCTCTATGTTTGTATGAATATATAAGCTTTTGTGGTTATATTATGCTATCAGTTCCGTTTAACGTTATACTACTATATATGTTATGTTATACAGGCAAATATTTTTTTACTTCACTATAAGATTTATACGGTCTTTGATACAATATCCAACATTATATAGACTTTATATTTCTAACATTATGTAGATTATTGTATTATATATCACACTGCACACACGCGAGCACAGCCAGGGTAAAAAATACACAGGAGCGATGAGCGATTCGCTCTTGAAACCTCCGAAATCGCTCCCGCAAAACAAATTACGAGAGCGACAAAAAAAGAAAATTGGGAAAAATCTCTCTCGTACCTGGGGTATATGGTGGATGTGCGAGCTGAAAAAAAAGAGCGTCCAAGTGAACAATGCGAATGAAGCAATTGGTGCAGACATCTGATCACTGTATTCAGTTTACCTCAGGCTCAGACTTTACTGTTCAATGTCCAAGAAAGGGCATTTTTTGGCACTGTTGCACTTTGTGTAAATAGTTCTACAGTGCTGCAGTGCTGTTTAATGTTGAGCTGTCAAAATTTATATGTCAATATTGACTAGGAGCGTAGTTAAACACATTTCGCCTTGGGGGACGGGTTTTCAAGCCATGCACAGTTTGTGTTCTGGGCAGTAAACAGTGAGAAGCTCGCTATTGGCCATGTGATGTAATCTTGCATGTGAAGTGGTGGGGGGGGCAACTATCTGCGTGCATGAGAACCACCCAACCCCACCCTCCCTTCCCCCGCTCCTTACGATCTTGAATATATATATGTCACACCTGGCAGAGTTTCCGCCAGGATGGTAAAAGGGTAAAATTCCATACCCAAAAATATTTCTAGGGTACATATGGATCCATACCTAAAATTACAAGTATAAAATTACTTGTTTATGTATGTAAGCAATATTTGGAGTGAAAATGAATATTTATAAAAAGAAAATGCACATTTCTTGGCATAATTTAATTGGCATAATAATAACAAGAAAGTCATTGGTTCAAACATAATAGTCACTAGGTTAATGCACTACAGTTGGTATCGACGTGGCGGTGACCTTGGCGGTGGTTCAGTTTGCCATTGAACCATTTATTCTCAATTCAATCAACACCCCTCATTTTGGTCCTTACCAGGGTCTCCAACCATTCCTCATTTTGCGGAATCATTACGATTTCTAGGCTTAATTTCCGCATTCTGCAGCGGCATTCGCCGCAAGGTTATATACCTCATTTCAGTTGCACTGTACAAAATTTGCACTGATTGTTTGCATTGTTCGCTTGGACACATTGTTTTTTTTCAGGCATTTTATATCTGACATGTCTACGGTAAATGGAACAGCCTAGTCAGATAGGCGCTGTCTGCAAGGTGTCGCATAGTTTGTCTGCTAATCAGACAAGGGTTGTAGGGTTGAGTCTAGGGTTGAAATAGTGTTATCAGACATGAGAATATGGCCCACAGTATATGCCTCAGATTGCACGAAAATGGCTTAAATATTTCAAAATTTTCTGTGGGGGCATGCCCCCAGACCCTCTAGCACTGCCATGCCTACAGCACGCGGGTCTGCCAGCGGCAGCCAAGGTACATTTCCCCCCCCCCCGTCCATCAATTTCTGAATACGCCACTAGTTACTGATCACCGCGGGAACATTCCGCATTTGGAGTTCACAGGGTTGGAAACCCTGCCTTACTCCAAAAATATTTTCTGGCAGAAACCCTGCCTGGTGATATAAGTTAACCAGCGTAACCATAAGGCTGATAGGATCTACCCTGGGTACGGTCCGGTATACCGGAACGTACCCTGGTACTAAATACTACTATCTAATATGTCGGACCGTACCTCGCCTACTCCACTAACGAGTCTAGGGAATCGCCTACGCCTACTCCCTAACCCTAACCATAACCCTAACTCTAACTTTAACCCTAACCCTAACCCTAACACTAACCCTAACCCTAACCATATCAGCTAGATAGTTACCAGGGTACGTTCCGGCAGTACCCTGGAGACATAGACCCTATGGCTTATCAACTACAGAAAGATGATCGCCATTATGCGTCAACAGGATGCGTCTGACACGAGTGCAAAAAAAGTTTATTTACATACGGTGTCATAATAGTAGCTCGTTACGTGGAAGCAATGCTTGAAGTACCATTCAACGTTTACACACTACGTGGGCGATATCAACTTTTTAGAATTTGATTCGAAAGTGGCCGGTCAGGTGATCATGCATGATTCTAGCTCTAGTAGTACTACCAGGAGTAAGATAATCTATATTATCTTACTCCTGGTACTACTATATAGCCCGCGTCAAGAGCAGTGCCCGCGTTTATTAACTGCCGCGGCTATAGTACTAGAGCTAGAGTCATGCATGATCATTGTGCTGAGTGCTCACAAACCAATTATATTAGCTATACTGGCAGGCAATATGTGAGTACATACTTTTACAGGCGAGGTTTCAACCATTAATATCGTATTCGCTTGTTCGGACGCCCACAGGTACGTAGCTAATTTATTCATTTGATATTTTTTACTGCATATAGTTATGCTGCATGAGCCACGGATTCTGTGACGTCTTGTTAACCAGCAACTACAACTATTATTGAAATACGATGGCGAAGGATCCGTGCAAGCCAAACAAACCGCCGATACCACTAATAGCACCAACACTACCACCATCAGAAGTAGAACGTGTAAAAGTAGCTTCCCCACCAGCAACAGCACTAACTGCACCAGCGGGAGTGATACAAGATCTGTTGCCACCAACACAACAGGCAGTATCACCGAGAGAGATAGCGGCAGCAGCGAGAACTGTAGAAGCAGCAGCAGCATCATTAGCAACAGCAGCAGCAGGAAAAGCAACAGCCGTTGCAATAGCAGCGACCTCCGTAGAGAAAGCAGCAGCAGCATTGGCAGCAACTACAGCAGCAGTAAGAGAACAGCAATTGCGATTACCATCACATGTAATGGCTCAGCCACTGTCACAGTCAGCACAAGCAATCCCACTGCTGTCACAGCCATCACCAGCAACCCTGCCACTGTCACAGCTGTCACTAGTACAGTCTGGTATAGCAGCCATGGCAGTGGCATCACCTGATACACCACCGATGTGCATCGAAACAACATGGTAAGTAAAGTGTACTTGTCTGTATATTGACAGTGTGACTTTCAAAGTTTTAACTGTAATTTGATTAATTATAGGTATTGCTTCATATAGAATTGTTGTTCTGCATCATGTAATGCAGATCAATGTAGCTAGAGCAATGATTTATTAAATAAAATTTTCCCCCTATAATCATAGTGTATCACAGTAGTAACTAGACAGAGGGCACTCACGGAGAGTGCATACCTCCGCCAGCGACATAGCTCGTAGCAGCCGCTCGTTGCTTCTGCTCGCTCACATGTACACGCTCGCTGCGCTGGCTGGCTCGCTCGCTGACGCGCTAATATCGATCGCGCGAACACACACACGAACGCACAGACCCGATCATATAACCTCCCCTCCACTCCGTGGGCGGAGGTAATAACTTCTACAATGCAGTGTCGCACGCACGCAGACACGCACACATGCACGCAGGCACACGCTCACTATCGGCAATCACAATTTGGCAAGAGAAATTTCCACAACTGATCTTACCCAATTCCTCATTCATGAATAGGTTCTATTTCTAAACAGTATATATAACATTGAGTGAAATTTTATTGAAAGACATCGAATTTCTTATGAATGTTCATTATAATAATGCAAATGTTTTCCTGCAAAAGATTAGACTTTTGCATGTTGCAGATTTATATAAAAAGATTATAAAGACAACACAAACAACTTTTAAAACTAAAATATACTGCAGTCGATTATACATCAGCGTTTTTAAATTCAGTAATGCGCATCACTAATGCAGCATTTCCTCCAGGATAAAACCATGAGCGAGGTTGTAGGGTTGAATAAGTGAGGCGCGAAGGGTCGTTGTCGTATAATGGCATATAATATGTACCCGAGGTAACTATCTGATATGGTTAGGATTAGGGTTAGGGTTAGGGTTAGGGTTATGGAGTAGGCGTAGGCGACATACTTGCCGACACCTCGGGTACTACATATATACGACAACGACCCCTTCAGCATTTAAGTAAGTACCGAAGATGATGACGCGGGTTCTTTCGTGGTAAACGTGCCTAGTGGGCACCTGGGCGGGCACGTGCTTGGCACATAGCAAGAGCGGTCGCGCCTGCGGTGTTTGCTTTGATGTATTGTAGGAGGCAGCATTGATCAATGCATAGTATAGGGCTGCCGGTTATTCGAGAATTTGCAGCGAGCCGTAATGGGGGTAATCGCGAAAAAGACTCTGGATGTCGAATTTGGGGGTCAAGGGTCAAAGGTCAAGGTGTGTCAATGGAGGGGGAATATTTCTCCCTTAACTTAAAGCGATCATTGCGAGTTTTTTTCAGCGTTTTTTTTATTCTCACTCTCATGATGCTTACCGTTGTTGCTTGAGTAACAGTAATTGTTTGAAATAACAATAAAATGTCTTAGAACCTCATGCAAAGACAAAATCATGCACGATTACAATTTTGCGTTCTCTTGTTGATTTTCGCTGTCATGTCTCGCACTTTCTCGCGGTACCGCGAGACGTCAACAAGGGTACAGTAATGCAAAAATCGCACCGGAGATATTTTTGGTCAGATGTAAACACAGAGGTACGTGCATATAGTAGCGTAACACAAACAAGAGTGTAAGTTGTAACCTCATAAATATTAGTCTTCAAAAGTCCTAGGGACTATAACGAAGACGGAGAGAGAAGTGGATCAAATCCTCGTTGCGTACTGCCAGCGAGAATACTTATCACACACATATAGATGCCCCTTTGTTTTAATTATGTTCGCTTGTTTGAGACGCCATTTGTGATTTTTGAAAGTCCTGACTCGAAAAAATTTATTGCTGGTATGATGTGGTCAAATCAATTTTTCTATGCTATAACTGCATAAAATATTGGTGTTTTGAATGTTGGTGTAATCAGTGATATTTTCGATGTCAGGTGAGACTATATTCAGCTATATTTCGTTTTTCTGAGCAAAATTCTCGCAATGATCGTTTTAAGGCATAGGAGGATATACGGAATTGCGACACAAATCTCAACGGCTTGGCCTATAGTGTGATGGGGAGGAAACCATGGTACCAGCGCGAAATTGGAGGTCACAGGTCAAAGGGCAGTGGGGGAAAGGTCAGATATCAGACATTTTCTGAGGACATGGTCTAACGGACCGAGTGCAAAACTTTTTTGTTTCAGCGCTGACCTACCATTTTTATCACTTTATTGAAAGGACCATGAAATGTGCTTTCTGCACGTGCAAAGAGTTAGTGTCTGATAACCTTTTGACTCTCAAGAGGAGGGTTAAACACGGATTTGTTGACTGTTAACAAAGGACTGAACTGCTTTTGCTATTAGAGCCCCTTCCACTCTCCTCCCACCACCACCACTACGCTCGCGCTCGATGCATATCCATGATAACATGTTAATATAGTGAAGTCATTAAAGTTACACAGGTGTATCTTTATTACTGTACTACCGGTATAGCAAAGCCTATCATAGATTTTAGATCTGTATTAGTAGTATTCTAGATATATGCTCTGAGCGCGAACGCAGTGGCGGGAGGGCACACTTGATTCGGTTGCCAGGGAGTTTATCAGAAGAATACCCGGCTACAGTACACGTCAGTTGAGCGCTGTCGCTCTGCTGCACTTGTTATATTTCCGAGGCGAATTATTTTTTCTTGTCGCATTATTATACGTTAAGTAAAATTTGTTGAGAGCGATCATTGTGTATTGTCAACCAGGTTTCGCTTCTCTGTGTTCTCCAGTTCTGAGAAGCCTTATACAAACAGCCGAGACATGTCAGCGACGAGAGCAGGCATCCCGTCCCAACCCAAAACGCACACATTGTAGGTATATCTTGCTGGTCGTGATTACGAGTTGTACGCAGTTGTGGGTTATTCAAACAAACCGACCTCTGAACGAAACCGAACCGAGTTGTGTTGCACCCATGAAAAGTGTATGCATGCCGTCATTGCAATTACCGCATGCCAGTCATGCATTTCTGCGTAAAATAATGCTGGTTATCAGCGTTCACTTTAAGTTTACGCAACTACACTTTGAAATTCCAGTAACGGGTTGACTTTTTCTTCCGACCCTGCTTGCTTGTGAGATGACTGCTCTCTAACAATATTAATTGTAGCTACGTTGGAACACGATAAGGTGTGCCGGTGATGCTCCAGTGCATACGTTTAATTTGCAGGTTTAAGTACGAGACTCCGGACCACTGGGCAGTTCAGCACAACTTTGAAGATAAAGTGAAAATAGTCGAGGTGCGTTGATCGTCATCAGTAGGTTTAATAGGTGTAATCAGCAGCGTATATCTAGCATTAGACTCTTACACGTGTGGTCCAGTGTGCGTGAGAAGCAGTAGTATGTGTGATTCATATAACTCTGATGTAGTGCAGCACACATTGTTCTTAACCGAAAATGCTTTCAGATATACTTGCACATATCTGTGCAATAGTGCATATATATATATATATATATATCAAGAGTACATAATAGAGAAGAGTATGACACGGTTTTAACAGCGTTTTGCATAGTTTTCAACTTGTAAATATCCTATCAATATGTGAATAAATATATTCAAACTTTACCTTGTTTTCGTCTATGATTCTCCCTTAATCATATGACACCACAAATTTACCTGAAAATCGTATGTGTTCTTCAAAAAAGTTATTTGAATACGACACGGTTTGGCACAGTTTTCACGCATGGATGCATGTTTTAGACTAAACTTTCCATCGGGATTAGTGTTCTATTGTCTATGACGGAACTTTGGGGGCCGTAAGGGATATTAGGCATCGAATTGTATTTAGCGTGCAGCGTTTCCAGCGTGCAAAAAATAAATGTGCTCATGGCCAGCTAGCTAGCAGCTGATTCCCTTACGGCCCCCAACGTACCGTCATAGACAATAGAACACTAATCCCATATCAAAGTTTGGTCTAAAACATGCATCCATACGTAAAAACTGTGCGAAACCGTGTCGTATTCAAATAACTTTTTTGAAGAACACATACGATTTTCAGGTAAATTTATGGTGTCATATGATTAAGGGAGAATCATAGACGAAAACAAGGTAAAGTTTGAATATATTTATTCGCATATTGATAGAATATTTACAAGTTGAAAACTATGCAAAACGCTGTTAAAACCGTGTCATACTCTTCTCTATTATGTACTCTTGATATATATATATATATATGCAATATATAGTGCACATTTCTGGTTATACTGACAGGGTTCGAATTTCATCAAAACACCAACCACAAGTGTCGCGGTTGCCCTCCTTTAACCTGCTCTGGTGATTTGAACGATGCATGCCCATAGCAGTAGTTAAACCCCCCTGTTTGCACATATTTGCATGTTCACATAGAGCGTATTGACAATACGCAGTGGCTACGCGTCTGGTCATCCATTAAGGGCCGGACACACTAGTCGATGCCATCGCACAGATCAAAACGTTTTGATATTATCGCCCGATGCCATCGCCCGATGCCATCACCTAGTGTGTCTGCGGCCGGCGAGGAGGGCGCACTTGATTCGGTTGCCAGTGAGTTTATCAGAAGAATACCTGGCTACAGTACATGTCAGTTGAGCGCTGTCGCTCTGCGGCACTTGTTCACAGTTGCAGGAGCGTGCACATACTCCTAACCCTATAACCCTAACCCTAACCCTAACCCTAACCATATCAGATAGTTACCAGGGTACGTTCCGGTATACCGGACCGTACCCATGCAGGGTACGTTCCGGCAGTACCCTGGGGGACATAGACCTTATCTGCTATAGTGACAATGACCAACAGTGATTGGATTCGGTAGTAGTGATAATGATGACAATAATTGCCGTTGTACATATTTGTATTACAGATATATTAGTTGTACCATCTTGAAGTCACATGTATCGGTAAAGCCCCCGTCACACTAGAGCTACGCTCATCACGATCGCCCCACGCTCAAAACATTTGGCCGAGCATGGTGAGAGCATGGCCAATTGGGCCCCAGCGCCGATACTACGATCTAAGTGCGTCTTTAGCCCGATCTCATTGCGCCCAACAAGCTTTCACCACGCTCAAGACCACGCCTGCATCACGCTTGCACTGCGCCCGCTGCGTCTTTATTGCGACCAATCCGATCGCATTGCGTTCAAACGACGCTTGCACTGCGCCTAAGCAACGCTCACCGCGCCTCAACTGCGCGCCAGTCATGCTCCTAGTGCGACTTAATCACGCTCTAGGCAGGCGCCGACTGTGCTGGCAACGACCATATAAATACCGCGTCGCGTTCTAGACGTCATCATTCGTTCTGCTGTGCTGTTCACATCAAGATTATTTTCTACTATTTATCTTCTATTTCTCCTCCTCATCCTCCTCAGCATGATGACGGCTTGGCAATCAAGTAATTCGAGTTGTCCTTCTACGAGAAACATGGCATGGAGTAGTGTTGCCTCATCCATAGTGGACACTGAAGTGGTGGGGTGGCCAGGGTAGCACCCTAATTTATACCCCAAGTTCGCAGGACGTGATCTGAGCGTGGTATTGACGCAACTGACACGTATTGCGAACGCCACAACGGCGTGGTCTGAGCATATGTTTGGCGTAGTACAATCGTAGTACGAACGGGTCGAGCTTGCTAGAGACGCACCATGGTCATAGCGAGAGCATGGTCAGGTCGCAGAGACGTCTCCATGGACGTAGTAACAGCGTGATGAAAACGTATTGACATCGTGCTGAGAACGGGGAGACAATTTTCACGCACCCGACACGCTTGCGATACGATCATTAAGTTCGTACTACGCTCGAGTTACGTGGGTACTACGCCTTCCACGTCTCTAATACGTCCTCACTGCGCTGTCTTTTCGCCACGCTCGCACCACGATTGTTTTGAACATGCTCAAAATTTGGCGACGCTCTCCACGCTCATGGTGACTGCACCGCGCTCGATCGCGATCGCAGTACGTCCATAGACTGCGTAGTACGTTCCATAGTACGTTCATACTGCGTTCTACGCGTTTCCACCACGCTCTTAGAGCGTAGTACGAGCGTAGTGAGATCGGGGCCTGGTGTGACGGGGGTATAAGCTGGTATGCATAAGCCATAGCTCGTTCAAAGTTATACATTGTAGATGTTGCCAAACAAGGGTTCGCACTGAATAGTGTAATTGTTATTTTGCATTGTACGTATACAGCTGGACCTTCGTCATGGCGAGGGCCAAAGGATTGCCTGTTTATTCGGAAAATCTTTCTGGGGAAAGACGGTAGTTGGAATCCAGAGGATACAAAATCTAATGCTGTGGAACAAGTATTGCACGTACGTAGCTTTATTTACTGGGGGTCATATGTATTATGGGCGTTATTACGGCCTTGATAGAGGGTTACTAACAATCCCAGGTCCCCAATAGAACAATGGCTACTGCATGTCTGAGGGCACGACTGCTAAACTGTCTGAGCAAAATATTCGTACCACGCACGATTGGAAATTAACTCTTTGTTCCAGGCAGCAACTTCTTGCCAGAGAAAAAAACGGGCAGCAGTCTTACTCACTCCGGCAGAAACATGGGAAAATCATAAAAGCCCAACTCCCTCCCACCCCAACAGTACTGTCATATTGTCTCTGTTATTCAGCCTTGTTTCCCTTTGTTTATTCTAAATTTAGTTACCTATACTTAACCCAAGTTGCACATCAAACGAAGTAGGGATAGTAATGTAAGGTCAATGCAATTAGGAAAAAACCTAAACAACTGACCATTGTTTGCAATAGAAATTGCCTGTAACTTTGGTGTTTTTGGTTTGGTTTATTAGGAATTTCTTTGCAGCAAGTATTTGCTGCCGACATTGAGAGCAGTCAGAAAACTGAGCATTGTAGTCAGAAAAACTGCTCCTTACGGGCCAGTCAATCTAGACCAGTCTATATGCTTTTCATTGTGTGCGCACCAAAATGTGACACATCTTCGACAAGCATTTTTTTGGAACCCACCATTGCAGCAGTTATTGGCTAGATCTGCCTGTCAGTCATTCCAGACAGATAGGTCATTGTACTGCCTTTCTGTGTGTTGAAGCTGATCAGCACCCGCAGTGTTTAGTAAGCAAACTGCTCCTCAGCTACGTAGTTCGATCAGTTGCTTGAAATGTTGTCAAAAATGGTCTCGCTAGAAATGGCTGGAATATGTGATCTGTTGAGAGCACCTGTGGTAACTGCATATCTGTGCACATTCACAGAAAGCGAGAGGAGATACGATCGATGTTAGGCAGGATGACAAAGAGAGAAGAGAGGACATTGTTCCATGGGACTAGTCCACAAAATGTTGAAGCAATATGCCATTCAGGATTCGACCCGCGTCTGAGTGGAGAAAATGGCGTGAAGTTTGGTACGTGTTAATTGCGAAATGAGAGATTCTTTGCAGTAAAATAGATGTGTCATATGTGTGTACAAGGCCGTACGCAGGAAATTTTCTGTAGGGGGGGCAAATACGCAGGAAATTTTCTGTAGGGGGGGGCAAAGGTACTCCCCACGCCCTCTATTGCCCTATTTGTCCCATTAAAAGGCATACTCTGAAAATCTCTAGGGGGGGCAACTGCCCCTGCTGCCCCCCTGCTGCGTACGGCCCTGCTTGTGTGTAGATATATTTACTATATATAATCATATCTATACTATAAATTTGGCTAATCTTGTGTGTCCAGTCAGTTTTGTGTGTGTGTGGTGTGTAGGTGTGATGTGTTTGTTTGTTTGGTTCCTCGATGATTCTACCGTGATTTGTCACTTCAATCGCGGGTAATAAAGACTAAATTCAGAATCATCACCATCTGGGAGATGGTTTTCTGGCGCCTGAGACAAAAATGTAAAAAAAGTTAAAATTAAAAAAAAATTGTTAAGTCAAAATTAAATAATCACGTACGTGGAATATTTCAGTGGTCATTGCTCGCCGCGTAGCGTTAGTGCAGTGTCAGGGACCCGTTTCTGTTCTACCTTGAACCCTCCTGATTTCTCGTGTGTGCTGCTGTTATCTTCGGCTGTCGCTTACGTTTATCGGTGGTCAAAATTAATCAATTTCTACCTTTACTTTTGTCTACTCGCTTGTAGTTATCCCTACTTCTCCACTTTTCAGCATTAACAAATTTTTTTTTTTTTTCTTCAAAATGTAATAAAATAAACTTTTTACTACCATTCATTAAAAAAAATTTAAAACGTTTTTACTTATCTTTATTTATTATTTCATGTTCTTTTTTTATCATTTTTCTTCTATCTATATTATTTTTATTGTTTTGGGATTTGGATGGGATGGGATGGGATTCCTAGCGCGGGCTCGCTGCGGATGGCGAATCGTATCGGATCCTATGAAGATGGCATAGGATGGAGATGGCGATGGGATGTGTCGACTGACAAGAGCGATGGGGAATCTGGCGCAGGGGTAGGGCTGTATGGGGGCACCTGCGTAGATGGTGCCGCTGGATAGTATAGAGATTGGAGTGGTCGGATGGCATGGGCATGGCATGGAATGACATGCGTATGGTGGTCATGGATGGGCAGGGCCATGGCTGGCTTGGATTGGGGGGGGGGGAATGGCATGCATTGCAATGCATGGATAGATAGGCTATATAGTATAAATTTTGGTTATTTGTTCCTCTTCAACCAAGTGGTCAACCAACGTGAAAGCACTTCTTTCCCCTGCTCACTTAGAAGAATTAGCGCTCTTTGTTTCTTCCGAAAATGTTTTTGTGTTTTCTGTTTTGCTTTCATTGATAATTAATTTTCTTTAACTTCAACTGTGTCACTACCATGTCAAGTTTTATATTTTTAAGGCACGATCTTGGGTCGGTGTACATGGTATCAGTCTGCTAGTGATATATAAAGTTGTTCAGCGGAACTTAGTTGTGTTCTGCGCATAACTACGGAGAACTCCGCACCTAGAGGAAAACTCAAATATATTTTTTCAGCAATCAGCCCGTTCTGTCTGGAGGTCGGTTCGTGGATGCTGAATTTCAAAAAAGTTAAAAGTTCAAAATTCTAGTAAAAATTCTTATTCGTCCTAGATGGCGTACGATTAACATTATACATCATGTACGTGTAGAATCCATGGTTTGTCCATAACCATTCAGCGGCCCCAGTAGCGAATGGATAAAGCATCGGACTCCTAACCATTTGATTCTGGGTTCGAATCCCACTTTCGGGAAATGGCTTGTGTTTCTATACGTTTGGCACTGATTTTAGTATCTGTGTACTTGTGCCGTAGTTCACCGTCAATTTCCAAAAATTTAATTTTTTTACTTACATTTAACGTTTAGTAAAAATTCCAGAAATAAACTATTGGTAAGACGAATTAATAATAGCGCAAACTGACGGAACACTTCATCGGAAGGTCCTATGCTAGGTTACATGATCTTATATTATTATATTTTCTCTCTATATAATTTAATTTTATTATTTATAATTTTTGGACTTTTATTTTAATGATTTTTTTTTTTTTGATTTCGTAAATTATTTTTTTATGTGGGCGATGGGATGGCATGCGACTGCGTGACTGGTGATGGGATGGCATGGCATGATGTGATATTGGCATGGTCGATTGCTGGTGCCATGATTCTTCGGGGCCCGGGTGGATGGCATGGCATGGCAGTGGCATTGGGATGTGACTGGAGATGGCATGCGATGGTGGGAAATGGATATGGGATGGGATGCGGGTGCGGACCTGGGATGGGCATGGGGATGACATGGTAATGGGATGGTGGTGCATGGATAGATAGATAGTTTCTTTTTTGGCTATTTTCCTCTTCAACCAAGCGGTCACAACTGAGTAAGCGCCACTGATTTCCCCGGCAATGCGGGCTATCCGCTGAGTGTTATATATGTGGTGTGTGTGTGTGCGTGTGTGCGTGTGGCGTGTGTGTGTGCGTGCATGCATAGGACATGCCCACCACGCTACGTACACCAACACATGCACGCCCTAGGTGGTAGAGACACAGATGCAATGACACGGTGCCATCACACGTACATATAGTGCTCAACTGGTGTTCCTTGCTTACATCGTTGGCCCACCTTTATTAATCCAGAACATTACACATTTCGAGTTACTGATTGACGGTCTATTTGTAGTGATAATCAGTCATGAATTTGCCTGGACTATGCCCTATGTTTACATATTATGTCAAGTTATCATGTCTAAGCAACCATGGCCTCTTTTTTAAAGACAAGACAGTAGAGGTTTGCTACCGAAATGGTTCATTTATGCAGATGTGCTAAATGTAGTTCTTAAATATTTTAAAATACCCTTTAAAAAACGCCTTCAAACACAGTCCTTACGTACAAATTTCTGCGTACCCGGTCCTTTTTCACTGTTAAAGATCTATTATTATTCTAGCTTCAGAACGTTATCATTTATAGATAGGCCCTTATGCTTGTGAAAAAGAGTTTGTTACTTACTCATTGTATATAGTTTTGAACTATGATATTTTTCTTTGTGAACTTCTCACCTGGTTGATTTATCATCGATTTTAAGGCGTGAGTATTATTATCTGTACACGGGCCACGGAAATTACGTTTGCTCGGCGGAGCGCATGCTACTACTGTCGGATCTACTGCGGCCCTGATCCATCGGGAATTCGAATATATGTTCGTCGGCAAACAGTTTGATAGTTGACGACATTATGCGGGAAGGTTAAACGAATTCTGGGGAGATTGTGAAGTGTCGCACGAGACGAAAAGGTGTAAGTAATATTATATGAGTATAAGGGACGCGCTGGGGATGAGGAGGAGGAGGGGGGGGGTAAGGGGGGGGAAGGGTGTACATGTTTTGCTGTAGTTTTCAGCGGTACATGAAAAAAAAGACCATAAAGAGTAGTAATGACGTATTTCCTTAAATATAGGAAATAGCGTGGTTTTATTACGTGTGCGGCACCTAGCAAGATACCAGGAATAGAGACCACTGAGACCCTGCAGATTTTTACTGCAGTTGGTGTAAACAAGCGCAGACAAACCCCACTGTCTTCGTTCAATCTGTTTTTGATACTGCTCAAGCCTGACCCCAATATGTAATTAACCTATAGTAGGTATAATTGACAACAGCTGGCAGACACGTGCACCATGTGGTTAGACAACATTTCATGGACATCTCATCCTATGCGCATTCTATAGCAAATAATACAGACATGAACGTTTTAAATACAGATTGCTAAGCAACATGATGCTTTTGATGTTTTGCTTGTAGTAGAGGCTGGCAAGGTCAACTAATAATGCTAAGTCAGCTTGGGATCAACGTTCTATTGTCTTCAAATTGTTTCTTTGTGGAATTACTGGTACAATATTGCCGCCCGCGCGGTCTGTTTTTGTTGTAAGTGGTGGTTAGGTCACATCTGTAATTTGCAAATCTAGTCAGAATACTCAGAGTCAGATGTTAACATTATGTTTGGTATGTGGTTAATTGTATATATATAAATTTTCACATAATGTATATATGGTTACTATGATATATGTATATCTTGTAGATAGTGTCTCCACTTATTAAACTTGCTCTCACCTGGATAAACGATGTAAGCTAAGGGCAAAGGGTATGACTCTCTTAGCTTCTTTGCGCGCTGTTTAATCTGATGGGCTGTTCCTGCGTGATACAATTATGTCATTGTAGCGCTGACGTTCTTTATGTTACGTTATAACGTCGGGAGGGAAGACCAGCCCTGAAGCAAGTGAAGACGTATATTTTCGTGTTATTTTGTTCTGTTTTTTTCTTTATTATATGCATTAAGCATTAAGCATTAGTATCGCTGTCTGTTGTTTATTCACCCGTCTTATATTAGCTTACTACTAAAATCGTGTCATGTCATCATAAAGTAATTTGTTAAATCTATTTCCTGAAGTTACAGAATCAGTCTGATCTACACTGTAAAACTATTGATTAATATACATTTCGTTAGTAAAACATGATTACCTAGCTGTTGGCTTGTGTACGACCAGCGTATTATACGTTTATCTAAACCCTCGAGTGATCCCAGAGGATAGTAAGATACAAAATAGACAATTTTATACCCAAATGTCGCAATTCGCAGAGCTCTGTCCATTTTAATCTATACGGCACATACATCAGGGACCGTCTCAGTGAGAGGAGGACGAGAGAAAAGGATGTGCGCATGAGCTCAGGGTAGAGGGAGGCGCGATGGATCTAAGAAGCGATAAGGAGGTCGCTTCCAGTTAAGGTTTCCCCCTCTCCCACCTCTATCACTGTTCCCTACTTCTTCTTTACGTTCGCCCTCTCCTCCCCGACTCAGCGACACCGTCTCCGCCCTTCTCCCAAGTCTCCTTCACCGTACTCCCCTTCCTCCCCAACCTCCTTCACTGTCTCCCCTACTCCTCTACGTCGCCACCCCAACTCCGCACCAC